AATTTCTTATTAGTTATTCGCATTTTTATCTCTTCACACTGGTAATATTCAATTAATTAAATCTGGTCTTATGTTTATTGTAAATAAAAGTAATTTAATAAAAAACATGCGAAAAATATATAAAGACATAATAATTTAACATTTTTTATTTTTTAATGAATTATTTGAAAAACTTCCAATTCATCAAATCTACTGTCATTTACTATTATAAATATATCTATTACTTTAAACAAAACATCATTACCACCACCAAAAATTGGTAAATGAGAAGAAAAACAACTAATTGCATTCCATACAACATTATTATTATTGATAACTGTGCAATATTGATATCTTTCCTATTAAATACAAAACTTTCAATTGTATTCTTAAATTCATCCATTCCAATAAATTCGTGATCCACCAGTCAAGAAAAGGGGTCAATTACGATTTGGCAGATTTTTTAAATTTAATAATAATAATAGCAATAGCAATAGTAATAATATTCGCCTACCATGCATTTACATATTTTACACAATATATAAAATGATTAGAATGTGCCCCAAAAGAATACTTTTCTTCATTAATAATAATATTAAATGAAAATTTATTTCTTAATAACTTGGTAGCTATTTATTTTACTGTATTTAATTATATCTAGAAAAAATTAACAGTAATTGTTATATATAATAGAGGAAATTTATAATATTAATTTTAATAACTATCACAGTAAGTTGCAATTTGTAATGTTTGTGTAACGATTATAAAAAATTTTGCACAATAAAAAATATAATCAATAGAACTTGCATCTTGTGTCGTTAATTGACAATCAGGGAAATTGAAAGATTTTTGAATCATTCCGATCCATAACTTGTGTGACTCGGAATTTTTAGTTCTTATATTGTTATATGCTTGTTGATATATAATAGGACTTGCATTTGCAGGATTTATCCTTTAAAACCATACAAGATCTCAGTTTCACTTTCCACACATGAAATAAGGGAAACAAGTCAGACATTTCGACTATTGTATATAACGTAAAAATATTTTTCGTTCACGTGAGCTTTTATTTTTTGTTCAAAGCAAAGTATTTGGTAAATAGGCAATAATCGTGAAGCTTCGATAAAAGCTCATGTTTTATTTGTTTAGTAAGCAAAAGCCAGAAGTAACTAGTTGAATATTAACGATAATTAGTAAATTTTGTTTGCTTTAGTGAGTAAGCTTAACATTGGACAACTAATGAACGTTAACAGCAATTAGTAAACATCATTTACTTTCGTAAAGTATTGTATAAAGGTTAATTAATGATGGTGATGTCATTTTTCTCTTGACGTTCGTTTCATTACTTAGAATGACAAAAAGAAAAAAAAACACAATAGTCGTAGCAGAATAATAAAAAACAAGTAATAATGATTGTGAACCGTTAAACAATAATGGCGAGAATTAGCAACTTGATATGTTGAATAAAGTAGAGTATATTCCACTAACAACATCACACCAAGCAAAGGCTTTCAAGTCTAAACTTTTATTTTCTTGCTACTTAATTGTCATCTATCTTCATTCAAAGTTAGATTTTTAATTTCATCTTCATATCTCAATAAAACATGTGGACTTGGCTCAATTAACATGTCCTCTATTGATTTTTCCTTATCCATGCTCTTCCTTCAAAATATAATATGGAGATATAATACCTTGTATTTCTAATGTTTATAATATATTGATATATATAATCCGCACATCTAATCCACCATACTCGCCTTCTTATTTGCCATTTTCGATTTTAAATTCATCATCATAATTTCCTAAATGACGTTTTTATATTCAAAGAATGAAATAAATGTCTTAAATAATAGAATAAAATAGGGGTTTATGAACAACGAATAAAAAACAGGGTTTTTTATTATTATGCAAATGAATTGGTTGGTTATCATTATGACCATAGTAACGAGAATCGATTGCTTGTAATAGTAATAGTAATATGATGATATACCTTGCATGCATGATTACTTTAGCCTATCAACTGTTTAATAAAATTGTAACATAATAAATAATACCGAAAACTCATTTTGGACTATTCAAAAAAGTATTCTTTATGTGGCACCAAT